CTTAGCTTCTAATGCTTAAGTACTCTTCACAGGCCTTAGAATAGCATAGGACGCCCAGCAGACACCTAGCAAATATCCACCGAATGAATAAAATTAACAATGAGCTTGCGGTTCAACACGTTAAACTTCAGGTGTTCCTGGGGATACCAAGAGAAGATAGGAAATCAGAGTGAGAGTGATACATAGACTAACCAGCATATAATTAATCACGGCACTGGCAACAGATGGTGAGCACTCTGGGGCTAAGTGTAGAGCAGGAAGAGCTAAAGAGCTTAATAGAATGTCCATGTCTTTTGTGCAGGAGAGGGAGAGAAGTTAGCAGAAACAGATAAAAGACATTCAGAGAGCTAAGGAAAGAGCCAGCAGAGTAGAGAGTTAACTACGATACAAAGGGAAATTTAAAGGAAGAAAAATGGCTTAACATGAAGCAGGAAGTCAAAGGGTATTTGAATTGAGAAAAGATCTGGCAAAGACGTATCAGAGAAAGACCATGGAGAGAATGGGTCCAGAGTAGTTAGAATAAGGGACAGTTGGGGATGGAAATGGTACATCCATCCACCTGAAGAGCCCAGGATGCCACACACTGCCCATCTGAGATGTTCAGCGAAGTACGCGTTACCTAATCAGCTAGCAGACATAAATAGTAACCCAGGAGGGCCCAACTCCCGTTTTCCTTCTACTACAAACCTGCCAGCAGGCTTAGATCAATTATTCATCATACTTGGGGCAATTATTTGGAAATCTTTTGAGTGATTCAATTTCATTAAAATTACATCATGGAAATGTGACATTATGAAGGACTGTGAACTGACTGCAGAAATATAGGGAAGCTCTGACATGAGCAACTTACCTTTGGGTCACTTCCAGTTCTTGTACACTAATCATGGACTGCAGCCCTGGTGGCACAGTGGTTAAGAGCTCAGCTGCTAACCAAAACGGTCAGCAGTTCAAATCCACGAGCTGCTCCTTGGAAACCCTACGGGGCAGTTCTACTCTGTCCTATAGGGTCGCTATGAGTCACAACTGACTCGATGGCCCCTAATAACAATAACAATAATCATGGACTCTCTCTCTCAGCTCACTGGTGTTATAAATTAAAAATTTATTTTATAACAATGAGAGGGAGAGGAAGAAGACAGGCAAGAAGGACAGTGAAGTGTTGACAGGACCCTTTTAGATAAAGAAAGTGAAGAAGCAGCATTAGACTCTGCCTCTCTCAATACCTGACGAAGGGAACACAAAAAAATTAAAATTTAAAAAGCCAAAAATTCACCATCATCAACCAAATAAGGAAAGGGATGCAAACTTATTCCAAAAAATCTCAAAAGAGTCAGCCAAGGAATGAAATAGAAGATTCTGCTTGCACTGCCTGAAAGCAATAATCAGGAAAGGAGTGGCATCCTGAGAATTCTCTCAAATACTCTCCAATTTTGGGGAGTAGTGAATGGGTACAGAGGTAGTGAATGGGCAGCCCCAAAAAGTTAAGGAAAAGCCCTTGACGGTAGAAGCCTGCATATGCCCAGATGCTCAGGAGTGACAGAGCAGACCACCAGGGCCAGCCGCTGTCCTAGGCACTGGGTCAAATTGGAGGGACTGCCTAGAGCTGGGGTTGGGGGTAGAAAGACATCCCTGGTAAATGGAGGAGGCCCTGGGACAGGGCTTTTAATGGAATCTTGGGAGACAGGCCAGAGGCCAGCTCTCTCCCAAGAGGCTCACCAAGCATAAGTGGAGCTCGAGCCCTCTCCCTCCCACCCCTGCCTGAGGCTGGAGTAAAATGGAGAGAAAGTAAGCTAGCATTTGAGTGGGGAAGACAACTGGTCCCAGATAGTGGGGAGAGTAGAGTGTCAAGGAAAATCCACTTAAGACTGTGTATGGGCAAATATAAGGTTGGGACAATATAGGTGCTGACATTAAGCATGGATAAGATGAAAAGAAATGGCACGGGATCTATGCAGATATACCACAACAGAAGGAAGAATGGAAAGAAAGGAGGTAGGGAAGGAAAGAAAAAAAAACACCTCAGGAAGTCGGTCAGGGAGAAAAGAGTGCCGAAAAGTGGCTCTTCCAAGGCCGTCTCAAGCTTCAGAAGAACTCAGTAGAAATAAGAATCCAATAAAACAAGGGCCCAAAGACAAGAAATAAACCAACAGAATGTGGTAAAAAGATTGCAGAGCTAAGGAAACAAACCGAGAATCAGATGACACCAATACAGAGCTAATAAATCAATATTAGCAAGGAAAAGAACAGACGCGACTGAAAATTAAAGAAGGCACAGAGTAAAGGTCTGAGATTATTTCAGTGGATGCTGGGGAAAAAGGAAAACGATCATCTCCCCCAATCAAAGGGAATGTGACAGATATGGAAGGCAAAGGTGACAAAACAAAGAATAACTGGTTTCCTGAAACAGAAAATTCAATCAGTGTAACAGAGAAAATATTCAGAAACATAACACAAAAAATTTTCCCTGAATTGAAGGAAGGAGTAAATCTGGTCTCAGAATTCTCCAAAGCCATGTTGAAAACCATAGGGAAATGGAACAGAATTATCTAAAAAGATCTGAGGGAAAGACTGTGGCCCTAGAAGAGTATACCCAGTCATGTCGTTTGTCAAGTATAAAGGTAACAGCAGAAATTCTCAACATGAATGAGTTCAAAAATACAACTCTCCATTCTACAATTAATTCTACTCTCTAGCACTCATGATCAGAAAAGCCTAGTGGTGAGCACAGAATCCACTGAAACGTAGAAACCATACTGCATCTGAAAGAATGAGGAGTGTAGAATGAAAAATAAATGTGATCAACTCTGACAAAGTAAAAATAAAACAAATAGCAAAAACTGAGAGTGGGGGGACGTCATAGTTTGAATTATGTCCCCCCAAAAATGTGTGTATCAATTTGGCTGGGCCACAATTCCCAGAATTGTGTGGTTGTCCTCCATTTTGTGATTGTAATTTTATGTTAAAGAGGATTAGGGTGGGATTGTAACACCATTCTTACCCCGGTCACATCCTTGATCCAATGTAAAGGGAGTTTCCCTGGGGTGTGGCCTGCATCACCTTTTATCTCCTGAGAGCAGAGAGTGGGAACCTCATATCACCAACAAAGCAGTGCCGAGAGGAGAGCACGTCCTTTGGACCTGAGGTTCCTGCACAGAGAAGCTCCCAGACCAAGGAAAGACTGATGCATCACAAGGACCTTTCTCCAGAGCCAACAGAGAAGAGAAAGCCTTCTCCTGGAGCTGATGCCTTGAAATTTAGACTTGTAGCCTACTGGACTGTGAGAGAATAAACTTCTCTTTGTTGAGGCCATCCACTTGTGGTATTCTTGTTAGAGTAGCGCTAGATGACTAAAGACAGATGAGAAAGGATAGGAATGAGTAGAAATTTAAGTATGAATCCCCTCATCTTTCACAGAAGGAAGTCAATTTTTCTGTTAAATATATGGAAAGTTAAATATAATAACCTTTTATTTTAAAAACAATAGCACCCATGACACAACCTATTCTTTGACGTTATTTCCATGTAGTTAGTTATCCATCCATCCATCCTTTTAATTAGATATCTGAATAGAAAGCTGTCTAGAATGATGGCTACCAAGATTTTAACATTAACAGGGAGAAAAAGCAGAGCCCAGAGAGAAGTGTCAGCACCCACCAGTTTCACTAATACACCCCATCCAAACACCCACATTCCTATCTCCATCCAGGCCTTTCCTTGAACTCCACAGTCATACATCCAAGCTACTTATTCAACATCTCTACTTAAATATCTAGTAAGTATTTCAAATTTAATGTGTCCAAACTAAATTTTTAATCTTCCCCATCCAAACCTACTCTTCCCTCAGCCCTCCCCATTTCAGTAAATGCAGGTCAAAAACTGTGAAGCCATTCTTGACCATCTCTTTCTCACACATCCCACATCCAATCTGTCAGCAAATCCCACCAGCTCCATCTTCTCACCACTTTCTCTACTATCAGCCTAGTCCAACCATTTATTCTAGACTGGATGACTACAGCAGCTTCCTAACGGGTCCCCTACTCTGTTCCTGCCCCTACAGCTGTTCCCCAACCAGCAACCAGTGATCTTTTTAAAGCATAGGTCAGATCATGTCATTCCTTTGCTCAAAACCCTCCCAGGGTTTTCACCTTACTCAGAATAAAACCCAAAGTTTTCATCATCTCCTATGCAAGCTCCTGCCTCAGGGCCTTTATGCTCACTCTTCTCTCCACCCTGAATACTCTTCCTTCAGAGCCACAAGCTTCATCCTCGTGCTTCATTCAAATCTCTGCTCCAATAACCTCCTCTCAGGGAGGACTTCTCTGATCATTCTACAAAAATGCATCCTCACACATTTATCCTCCATTACAGGGAGCAGTAATTTTATCTTCTCGTTCACAGACATATCCCTAGAGCTTAGAATGGTATTTGACACAAAGTAGGTGCTTGATATTTGTTAAATAAACGAATCAGTGAAAGAACTCAATATTTTATTTTCCCCAAAACACTGAAAATGATGTCTTTCTTTACTTCTGATTGACCAGACTACTCTATGGATCATTACAATGCAGGCAAATATTATTTCCTCTTAGTGAGCAATACATGGAAGTTATGAGAAACTCTAAAAAGTCCAGGGTTCAAAGATGGTTTCTGGTCAATCCCATGTATGTGTGTTTGGGGAGGAGTCCCTGGGTGGTGCGAACAGTTAACACGCTTGGCTGCCGAAAGAAAAGTTGGAGGTTCAAGTCCACCCATAGGTGCCTTTCAATAAACCACTGAAAACTCTACAGAGCATAGTTCTACTCTGACACAAATGGGGTCGCCATGAGCTGGAATCGACTTGATGGCAACTGGTACTGGTGTTTGGGGAATGGTGTGTGCTAGGGAGGGCAGGAGTAGTCACCAATCCAGTCCCTGATATGTACAAAGGAAAGTTCTAGGCTGCTTTATCCTCCAGTTATGACAGAGTGAGAGATCAGAAACTAATGTCAGCTTAACGGTACCTGTCCCTGTTGGGTCACCTCCCTGGATCATGAAGTCTTTGATGATCCTGTGGAATTTGGTGCCATTGTAATAACCTCGACGAGCCAACTCAGCAAAGTTCTTACAGGTCTTCGGAGCATGTTTCCAGTACAGCTCCAGCACAATGATTCCCATGCTGTAGGGGGAGAGAAGAGCACAGCTCCTGTCAAGAACAAAGGTACAGCAGACAAGAATATCACAGGACTACTCTAGGATCCTTCTAAGTCATGAGATTGTGACAACCACTGGATTTCATGTTCAGCAAAGGAAAACAACCCACTTCAAGTAAAATGAACAGAGATGTCACCTTTGAGTAAAACATGCAGAGGTTCCTGGTACTTCTTTTAAGCAAAATAACAATTGAAGGTAAGTCAAAATCTTAATACCTGATATATAAAAGTAAATCCTTGGTCATCTGAAACCAATACAACCAACTGATAAATTAGAAAAAAAAAAACACAACAACTTCCACTTAATTTACAGATTAAAAAAAAATGAGGGCATTAAAATATCAGTTCATATTTATTTATACATGCATGGGGGCGAGAACTGGGTAGATCAGACAGGGAGGAGAGGAAGATTTGTCAATGAATACCTTTAAAAATTTTTTCTATTTTTGAACCACGTAAATGACTAACTATTCAAAAGAATTTTTAATGAAAAAAAGTACAATTTGTGTGTGTTTGGAAAGGAGTGCAACAAAGGCAAAATCTGATCAAACCTTTGCACCTACCCAATGTGATGAGTGCGTTTTTTTTTTTCTCCTAGTACTGCTAAGGACAGGGAAGAAGTAAGAGACTAGGACAGATGTCTTCTCCTCCACTCCATCACTCACTAAACTTTAAGCTCCAAGAATATGAGAACTGAATCCACTCTGTATAGCCTATGGAGCCCTGGTGACGCAGTGGTTAATCACTCGGCTGCTAACCAAAATGTCGATAGTTGGCACCTAACAGCCATTTCTGAAACTATTACGTTTCTTGGAAACGCTATGGGGCAGTTCTGCACTGTCCTATAGAGTCTCTATGAGCTGGGAATTGAGGGCAATGGGGCAGGCTGTACAGCCGGGATACCGAGCGCCTAGCACAGTGCCTTGGACATTGTAAGCGCTCTACAGACATATGTGAAATGTGCTAGAAAATAGCTTTCTAATAGCCTTTCTGCCTGCAACCCAACGTGGATTAATGGTTATTCTGTGCAAGGCACTGTTCTAGGTGCTTTTGCCCTCACAGAGCTTATATTCTGGTGGATATTTCTTAAACATAGGGATTAACCTTTTGGAGTAACAATTGGGAAGTCTTATAGAATTTTGAAAGGTTTATACCTTTTGACTCAGTAATTTCAACTTCCAAGTATTCCTACTCTATGGAGACTACCCTAAGTGCCTAAGAATACAATACGTGCATTCCAGTATTACAGCAAAAATCGAGAAGCAATTTAAATGTCCTTCAAAGAGAAATGAGTAAAATATGAAATATCCATACTATGGTAGGCTACTTGTATTATTGCATGAAAGAAAAGCAAATTACAGCAAGACCATATGACCTTATTTTTGTTAAAAAATAAAACATAAAAGAGAGATGTTATATGTATATGGAAAAAGATCTGAAAGATCATTCAACAAACTATTAATAGTGTTTATGGGAGGAGGTGGCTTTCACTTCTCACTCTATACACTTCTATACTGTTTGGATTTAAATTTCATTTTCTAATTAAAAAAAAAATTTTAGCAAGGGAGTTCAGTAATTATTTTCAAGTTGGGGCCTGAGGAAGGTGGAGAAGATGGCCAGGGAGCAAGAGCAGCATGGGCAAATACAGAGGGACTGAGAGAACTCTGTGCTCTTGTGGAAAGCAGCTTGGGCATGAACAGAAAACAGACAGAGATCACCTTGAGAAAAATCACCGTGAATATCATGAATGACCGACTAAGAGGTTTAAACTTTATACTGTAGCAGCAAGAAGTCACTTAAGGTTTTTGAGCAGGCTCTCTTGTCCCACTTTGGAAAGATCACTTTTTTTTTCCCAAAGAGGTAATGGAATGAATGGGGCTACAGAAGCTAGCGTGTGAAGCACAGACCAGGCTCCAAACGAGGTTCCCCCACTTACCAGCTGTGTGGCTTTGGTCAAGGCATTTAATCTGTAAATTTTGGCACTTCCCCTGCTAAAATTGGAGGAGAGGAAGTGGAATAACATCTACATGATTTCAGTTGCTAGGATCAAGCTAAATGTGATGGCATATATCAGGGGATTGGCACTAGCTGCTTGGTGCTTAATTATATTGTTATTTATTGTATCACCGACAGTGGGGAAAATGTACTTCTTCCTGTGTTCTCATAATTTGTTAATGCACTGTAGTACTTATCGTGTAATTAATTACATATCTGTCTCCTTCACTATACTGCGAGCTCCAAAGGGCGGGGCTGCGTGTTTCATCCACTTCCGTACGTTCCAATCCCAGATCCTACGTGCCTGGC